ATACTCCACCCGACACAACCGAGTTTAGAGGATACCTCCCGATCATTGGATACTACACCCGACACAACCGAGTTTTGAGGATACCTCCCGATCCTTGGACACTCCACCCGGCACAACCGAGTTTTGAGGATACCGCCCGATCCTTAGGTACTCCACCTGACATAACCGAGTTTTGAGGATACCGCCCGATCGTTCGGTACTCCACCCGACCTATGATCTACCACATATCATACTAGATAGGGTCTCTATCATAATCAATAAACAAGACTAAACCAAGTCTTAAGGCCTAAGCAAATTATCCATGCAATTCATGGATTTAGAATCAACGTATGGGCAATATATGGCAAAACCGGTGCCGGTTTAAATCTGACCAGTACCGTTTCATAGTCAAATAATATGAGTCGGGCTAAACCCGCTCGAACCGGCGCCGGTTCTATGCATGACCGGCGCCGGTTGCCCTTGGACAACCGATCAACCCTCAGTTGACCCGCTATTTCAAATCCATAAAATGTCAAACTTAATTACAACATGTTAAGTTATAAACAACCATAGTATGCACCATTTATCTCTAAACATGTCACATATGTTTTTATAAACGTTTTCATATCGTAATTCATGCATATCTCAATAGTTCATTTCATACAAACCTAATCACTTTGGCTAATCACATGTTTAATCTCATTTAAACATTATTATGAACACATATAACATTTACATAGGTAATCTCATGCTTAACCCAAAAGTTACAAGACATTAAGCCATCCAGTCACCTCAAATGAGCTTTAAGAAGACTCTACTCTTCTTAGTTGAACTCCGACGAGACTCCGGCAAACTCCGGCGAGCCTCCGACGAACTCTAGAAACACTTGATTCAAGCCCCTAATATGTTTTTATCATCACAAAACTCATATCAATACAAATAACCTCTAAAAGGTTATTTTCCGGCGAACCAGTCGTTTTGGCTTCTAAGTCCGTTCTTGGACTTAGAACTACCTTCCAACCCCTCATTCTACACTTCTAAACATGTAGAATAATTCTAGGGGTCCTCCATATGATATATTAGTCATATGATAGACAAAAAATAGAGAAAAAGATACTGTAAGGTCATTACCTTAATCCTTCACGCTTTTCCCCAACATTTTCCTTCTTTAACCTCTCTTTAGACTCCTATTGCTTGAGTTCGAATTTGCAGCTATGGAGGAGGGTTTGAGAGCTTCTTTTCTCTCTTTCTTCTGGCCTTGGTAGAGCTTGATAGAGGGAGGGAGTTGTGAGAGTAGTTTTTGTCTCATTGGACAAATGAGTGTGGATGGGAGGTCCACCTCATGTCCTTATGCTCCTCCACTCAATCCAACTCCTCTCATCCCTCCTCTCTTAATTCAGTCAGCCAACCCTTGGCTTTTGTGACCAAAAAAACGTGGGTTGGCCCCCACTCGTGTGGGAGGTCAACCCTTAACTCCCGCGGTGTACAATCAGTTCTGAAAGTTGTATTTTTCGGACTGTTTTAATTATATTTTATTTTATTGGGTCAAATAAAATATATTAGGTGTTCCCCATCATTATGGACTCCTAGAATGAATATACATTCCTCATCTTTAATTTAGAAGTCTCCGAAATTCGTTTCGGGCTATTTTTTGATAAATTACCAATACTGGTAATTGGGTCTCGTTTGACCAACGGGTCAACCATATGCCCTTCCTATGGCCCAACTAAAATATCCACCACTATATTGATATTATCTAGACCAAGATGAATATAATATGTGGTCCCGGGATTTTCGGGTGGTCCCCGCTTCCGATGCGGGCCCCGCGTGCAATTCAGTATTCACGCAGAAGTGATAACTAAAATTTTACAACATTGCAAATTCATAAATCATTATTCAAGGTTCATTACAAGATTTACTAAAAGTAAATACACTTGGGGACGGTGTTACATCTTAAACAAAATATTACTACCTCTGTTCCTATTAAAACTTCCAAATAGGTTTGGGACACAGTTTAAGATAGTGGGTGTTGTGTGGTAAAGAGTTGTGCAGAGGAGAGAGAAATGTGTAAGAAATATTGTGAACCACAAATTCTTTACTAAAAAGGGAAAGTAGAAGTTTTAATTGGAACGGACAAAAAAGGAAAGTTGAAAGTTTATTTAGGAACGGAGGGAGTATGATAATTGTCTTCTTTGGATTTGAATTCTTGGTGATTTTGGAGACTAATATTTTTGCTTTTTGTTAATTTATTTGTGGTTTGTACTTTTTATTAATTTTATTTGAAAATAGATTTTAAAATATAAAAGAAAAATGAGTGATTTCACATTCGGGCTTTACCCGGCCAAACCCAAACCCGGACCGAACCCGAACTACAAAAAACCTGACTCGGACCGAATATAGTGGGCTTTGTTTTGGTCCCTAATTTTCATAACCCGGTAACTTACGGGTAATTTCCAGGTTTAGCAAAAACCCGACCCGGACCGGACCGATCCCACCCCTACAAATAAGATAGCTTACAAATTAGATCAGCCCCAACAAATTAGAACAATAGTGCTAAGAAAGTTTTCTCCCAGACCGATGTGGGAATTGAATCGGAGATTAAAGACACAAAAAATCTTATGCTATTGCTACAGAGTATTTCTTGGGAGGGTAGCTCTCTTGTACCTCTACATTGGTGAATGTTTTGGTGCATTCAAAACATGGCATCACAATACTTGTTATGTATTCCACGTCATTTATTCATCTTCATCTAAAAAATCTAAATTTGTCAAAATGTTCCCTGCACTACATCATATTTGTAATTTCGTCCTAAAACATGCCTTTCCCCTTCTGTCGTCCCCATCATCAGAATACGCCGTCTATACAGTTGTTGGACAACTACTTCTTACTCGTTGCCTGGTGAGGGTGGGCTAATCTAATGCCTCTTGTGTGGAAGGAAAAAGGTAAGAAGGAAAGTCATTAGGGAAGGCATATGGCGAAGGACGAGTGCTTTTATAGCATATGGTTGACAAGTTCTATACCAGAAAGGGTAAAGGAAGGTCGTTTTATAGCCGACAACGACGACAGATAAATATTCGCTGTCGCTGCTACGCCACAGGCTAGTATTTCAACGACGATACCGAGAACGATAGAATTGATGTCCTTGAGCCAAATCTGAATACCCTAGCATCGACTGGTGATAGTCAGAAGGAGGAATCTGACGCTCAAGAGCCGAATATCCAAACTCTAGAATCGAGAAGACCAAAACGACCGAATCAAGAAAATGAAAAATGGGATGTTAGGCACCTTCTCGTGCGGGAGAATTTGGAATTGGATGATTCATTGAGAGTAAGTTCTACACGGGATGCAGCCTGCAGGGCACCAGAAGATAGTAACATCAAAGGCGAGAAAAGGAAAGGTGATGGAATTGGACCCATGGTGGAATCTGGGGGAAATGGTGGATCCCAACCTATGGTGCAGGATAATCACATAGATGAGCTGAATGGAAGTGCTGCATATGGCCTTTTGGCTCAGGGTAATGACATAGACGAACCTGATGGAGTCTTGGATGTCAAGCATTGGTTTGGGTTTTTCAATGGGTAAGCTTTATGGAAATGTTGGATCCTAGCCAGTGGTGCAGGATGACAAGATTGATATTGATATGTTCATTTGATATGTTCATTTTGCTGCTTCGGATTCGATTTGGCTTCATTCATATGTGTGCAGTGAATGTTTAGGGAAAGTAAGTGACTTTACATTTCGCTCGAAATTTTTGTTGTTTCACCGGGATATGACTTGCTTCGTTTCGCTGCTATGGAATTGATTTAGTTCACTCACCTTCATTCATTTTACGTGACTGTTTTGATGTCCAACATCTAGACTTCGATAACATTTCTTTTTTGGATTAAACTTTAAACTGTGATGTCATCTGTTTGGGTGGGATTGAAAACTTAAAAAGTTTCAGTTTCAAACTACATTTGGAATTGTTTTTCTGTTAGGTATTTGTTATTTGACATGTAAATTTCAAGAGATTGCCAAATCTTTCATATGTATATAAATGGTGGCACATAAGGCCTACTACTTATCTTTTAATGGTTTAAAAAACTGAAAGTTTTAGTCTGTACTCGGTACTTTTTAGAGTTTAAACTAGCTGAAAGTTCTAAATTAAACTTGAAAATTGAAAGTTGAAACTAGCTGTTTAAAACATAAGGTTAAGGTAAGTTTAAAGCTTAAAGTAGCCGGTTTAAACTTTAAGTATAAGTTTAAGGTTAAAGCTTAAACTGTGATGTCATCTGTTTGGGTGGGATTGAAAACTTAAAAAGTTTCAGTTTCATACTACATTTGGAATTGTTTTTCTGTTAGGTATTTGTTATTTGACATGTAAATTTCAAGAGATTGCCAAATCTTTCATATGTATATAAATGGTGGCACATAAGGCCTACTACTTATCTTTTAATGGTTTAAAAAACTGAAAGTTTTAGTCTGTACTCGGTATTTTTTAGAGTTTAAACTAGCTGAAAGTTCTAAATTAAACTTGAAAATTGAAAGTTGAAACTAGCTGTTTAAAACATAAGGTTAAGGTAAGTTTAAAGCTTAAAGTAGCCGGTTTAAACTTTAAGTATAAGTTTAAGGTTAAGTTTAAAGTAAATGTTAAAGTATAAGTTTACATTGTAAAAATACTGAAAGTTTCAGTTTCAGTTTTCAGAGTTTAAACTAGCTGAATGCTTTAACTTATACTTGAAAATTAAAAGTTCAAACTACTTGATTTAAACTTAAAGATGATTTAAGTTTAAAGTTGAAACTAGTTGGTTTAAAATTGAAGTTTATGTTTAAATTAACTCTAGAACATACTGTTTTCATAATACTGAAGTTTCAATTTCACTTTCCTGACTTGAAACTAGTTGAAAGTTTAAACATAAAGTTTGAAATTCAAACTTCAAAGTACTTCAAGTAGTTGAGATTTTCAATTGAAACTGAAAACCCAAAGTTTAACCTACCAAACTTAAAATTTAAGTTTAAACAGAAACTGAAAGTACCTGAAACTTTAAACTTGAACTTAAAGTTTAAAGCTGAAACAACCTGGTTTAAAGTTAAAGTTCAATTTGAAGTTGTCGGTGATGGAGTATATGGCCCAGGAACCTCTGGCCCACATACTTCCTCTACAACAATCAGATCCAACGGGTCCAAATGGGCCAAGCCCAGCAAAGGAGACTCCATGTAGCCCATAATAGGCAGGGTGTGCCTTCGGCCCCATGCTCGAAGGCTTTTACATTCATGAAACCGAGTCCAAAAACATCACATGAGAACAAGACTTGAAAAACGAGCCTTCGGCAATTACGGCCTTCGGGACATATTGACCCCCCAGTATGTAGAGCCTTCGGCCCCAGCAGGTGCATCCGAAGGCGCTCCTCTCGACAAGATCTCCTCTCCCACATGCGCTGAATCACCGGATCAAGTACAACGTCACACCCAAATGCGGCCACATGCTATGTCAGTGCCACCCTGGTTAAGTTGACCCTCCATCGCTGGTTGATTGACACGTGTACCCTCGTTGATTAGACCTAGCATTTATGGCTGCTATAAATAGCAGCCGTTTTCCATTGTAATCGGAACACAACTGAGATATATTGAATAAACACTCCTTCTCTCTCTTGCTTGCTCTGACCTCTCTCTAAGTTATTCTCCGTAATAACCCTTCGGATAAGCTACCCCCGAGTACACTATCCATCAGTCGGTTTAAGCAGTAAAATGTGTGTTTCTGTGCAGGGTTTGGTGAACACTCTACCTGATGCAGCTGGCTGTAGTGCAACAACCTCCAATGCAACAATTTAGGCCCTAGTATTATGCTAGATAGTTGTCTCATGTTGAAGTTTAATGCAGCTTTTATGCTTGAACACTTTTTCTCACTTGTAATCTGATTTGTAATGTTTTAATCTCACGTTTTTATCTGATTTGGTCTCTGTTATGTTGATGTTGTTTGATTTGAAGAATACTTGGCTTTAAGCCCGCTTGTTGGCATCTTGTTTGAAAAACCCTTTGTGGTGAAAATGTTATATTATAATGAAAATGTGTATAGGTTTGAACACCTGCTCTCTATACACCCTATTTAGAGCCTCAACCAATATGCTGATTGTTGGCTTAAATTTTGATTGGTGATTCTGTAGGAGGATTTATATGTGCTTTGATTCTTTTGAAAGAATAAAGATTATTTTATTTAATTTTTGTATGTATTTATCACTTGCTTATGGATATGGTGTCTGGATTTATGTCTTGGAATATATATAAAGGAATAAATTTTATAAGTACTTGTAGCTTTGATATTGTCTGCTCAAGCAATATAGATTCACAGTAATGTGTGACTTTATGCATACATGTATACGTGAAATTCAGCTGATATAACTCATCTCAACATTATTAGCAAAAATGCTGAAATTCAATGCAAAGATTAACAAACAACGACCACAAAGCAGTCATCCCAAAAATCAAGCTAAATTGAAACAAACATTAAACTTTCATTTCTTCTTCATCATAGAGACCAAATCAGAAGACCAAATGAGAGTACATTATAGAGACCACATCAAAAGACAAAACCATATTTCCGAGCCATTACAATTGTAGCAGAATATAAATCTGGTAATTACATTACAGAGAACACAAGCAGACATAATGTTCAACTACAGCTGAAATTCATAATATTCACTACATTCTCCCCAGGGATGTCAAAAAAACCCGGCCCACAATGACCTGCCCTGGCCCGAGACATTTGGGGCGGGTCTGACCCGCCCCGTCTTGCAAATGGGGCGGGTCTGTCCCGCCCCGTCTTGCAAATGGGGCAGGCCCACCCCGCCCCGCCTATACAATGGGGCAGGTCCGGGTATTAGTATTGACCCGTACCGCCCTGCCCTGACCCGCTCAATATATAAGTATATACATACTTTTTCTTAAATTATACTACAAATATACTTCAACATACTTATGTCTTCTTTATATTAGATTGAAATGAACGACAGATCATCAATGTCTTCTTTATATATAACAGTTTAATACATATATTCAAGTATTAATATAATTAAATAGATTAACTATTCAAGTCTAAGTGATTTTTCCTTAACTTTTGAAATTTCTTGCGTATCATGAATTTGATTTAATATATTAATTTTTAATAATTATTTGAAGATAAACTTTATGTAGATTCAATTGGTAACTTCTTACAAATAAAAATACATACTAGCTAATTAGGTTACTGCGGGGCGGGGCGGACCCGCATGGGGTGGGTCATGGGTCTACAGATTTGGACCCGTGCAGGTTACGGGGCGGGACAGGTCTGGGTCTTGCAGTACCCGCCCCGTCCTGACCCATTGCCATGTCTAATTCTCCCTCACTACATGACTCGGACTCCAAAATGTTACAGGTCACATTTCTTTTAAGGGATTAAGACATAAATAAGAGTAAAACATAGAGCTGAACTTTTAATAGGACCCGGAGTTTTTTAAAGAGAAATGGTTGTAAATAGGAGTGACTTATCATATATACTCAAATAGGACTCCAACTTTTTTAACTCCTAAATAAGACTAAATTTTCCTTCCGTTCCAAATTTGGCCCTAATATCCACTGGACGCTTTCCCTTTCTCTTATCCTACCTCTTCCGGACAAAATCACCCGCACACTTTAGCCAAACCTTTTGCCGAAGAACGCATGCAGCACAGAAAGCTTAATGAGATAAGGTGGGGTAGAGGGGCAGTCATGCAGAGCTAGCAATCACGACGGCGGCAAGCGCGGCGTAAGCGAGCAGCGGTAGTAGCGGCAGTCTCGACTCTCGAGCCACGCGGCAGTCCTTTCTCAACAGCGGCGGCGGTGAGCGATCCGGCGGTTCAGCGGTGCGGCGGTCCGGCGATACAACGGTATGGCGGGAGGCCCTGATGCATTATCTCTTCTCCTCTCCTTCTTTCTCCTCTTCTTCTCTTTTTCTTCTCTTTTAGATCTGGAAATGTCTTGTTCTGTTTTAGATATAGCATCTAGGAATGCCGACTTTGCCTACGTTTCTTCGCTTTTTTATTCTCTTAGTCAGTTAGTCTTTTTCCAGTTTGGTTCCTTTCCATTTTCTTATTTTATTTGTTTTTTGAATGGTATTCTATCTGTTTATTCAATTTCTTTTTTTGAGTTCTAACTTTTACATATTATTCATTTATTTTTCTATTAATTATTTTTAGATATACTTTATTCAAATGTCATTGTTACTGTAACATTTTTGTGTGCATTGTCAGATAATTTTGCAATGATATCAACATTGTCACACTATTCATATGTTGCTAAATGATATCAACATTGTCACACTATTCAGTAGTGCTCTGTACATACAAACAAAACGAAAGCAAAGAAATAAGGAATGTATTCGATTGTCATTGACATTCTTATGACATTGTTATTGACATTCTTACGAAATTGTCATTGACATTCTTATGACATTGTTATTGTCATTCTTATGACATTGTCATTGACATTGTTTTTTATTGACATTCTTATGACATTGTCATTGACAATTTATGACATTGTCATTGACTTCTTATGACATTGTCATTGACTTCTTATCCATGAAGGAGAGGAGAAGAGATGATGTCATTGACTTCTTATGACATTGTCATTCTGGCCACTCTTCTTGCCCACAGGCCATCTAGGACTTACTTCTTTCATAGGAATCATAGCCAGATGTTGAGATATAGTAGGATCGTACTTTTATGGATAGAAATAAATCCTCCGTAGCTTGGATCTTAATCTGCCAAATACATGCAATAGTTTTTCCCTAGGGAGGCGGGAGTGCTTAAGACTGGGAAAGGAAAGATATGCAATAAAGTGCAGCGGCGCGAAGCTGCAGAGGCGCCGCGAAGCTGCGGAGGCGGCACGAAGCGGCGTCGGCGACTCGGTGGTGAGGTAATGCAACAATGATGATATTGAGTTGCGGCGAAGTCCAAGGCTGGAGGTCGGTCGGTTGTATTCTATTAAAACAAGCAGGGGCCACAAAATTTATGACGAAGAGGGCATAAGGTTATTTTTGCCCTTGCACGTAGAGAGTAGTCCTATGTACGGTTTAAAAAAGGGATTAAGACATAAATAAGAGTAAAACATAGAGCTGAACTTTAAATATGACCCGGAGCCTTTTAAACCGTACATAGGACTACTCTATACGTGCAAGGACAAAAATAACCTTATGCCATCTTCATCATCAATTTTGTGGCCCTGCTTGTTTTAATAGAATACAACCGACCGACCTCCAGCCTTGGACTTCGCCGCAACTGAATATCATCATTGTTGCATTACCTCACCGCCGAGTCGCCGACGCAGCTTCGCGTCGCCGCACTTTATTGCACATCTTTCTTTTCCCAATCTTAAGCACTCCTGCCTCCCTAGGGAAAAACTATTCTATGTATTTGGCAGATTAAGATCCAAGCTACGGAGGATTTATTTCTATCCATAAAAGTACGATCCTACTATATCTCAGCATCTAGCTATGATTCCTATGAAAGAAGTAAGTCCCGGATGGCCTGTGGGCAAGAAGAGTGGCCAGAATGACAATGTCATAAGAAGTTAATGACATTATCTCTTCTCCTCCCCTTCATTGATAAGAAGTCAATGACAATGTCATAAGAAGTCAATGACAATGTCATAAAATGTCAAATGACAATGTTATAAGAATGTCACTAAAAACAATGTCAATGACAATGTCATAAGAATGACAATAACAATGTCATAAGAATGTCAATGACAATGTCATAAGAATGTCAATAACAATGTCATAAAAACGTCAATGACAATAAAATACATTCCTTATTTCTTTGCTTTCGGTTTGTTTGTATGTAAAGAGCACTATTGAATAGTGTGACAATTTTGATATCATTTATCAACATATGAATAGTGTGACAATGTTGATATCATTGCAAAATTATCTGACAATGCACACAAAAATGTTACACTAACAATGACATTTGAATAAAGTATATCTAAAAATAATTAATAGAAAAATAAATGAACAATATGTAAAAGTTAGATCTCAAAAAAAGATATTGAATAAACAGATAGAATACCATTCAAAAAACAAATAAAATAAGAAAATGGAAAGGAACCAAACTGGAAAAAGACTAACTGACTAAGAGAATAAAAAAGTGAAGAAAACGGGAAGAAACGTAGGGAATGTCGGCATTCCTAGATGCCATGTCTAAAAGAGAACAAGACATTTCCAGATCTAAAAGAGAAAAAAAAGAGAAGAAGAGGAGAAAGAAGGAGAGGAGAAGAGATAATGCATCACGGCCTCCCGCCATACCGCTGCATCGCCGGACCGCCGGACCGCTGAACCGCCGGACCGCTCACCGCCGCCGCTGTTGAGAAAGGACTGCCGCGCGGCTCGAGAGTCGAGACTGCCGCTAACCGTGCTTGCCGCCGCCGCGATTGCTGGCTCTGCATGACTGCTCCTCTTTCCACCTTATCTCATTAAGCTTTCTGTGTTGTGTGCGTTCTTCGGCAAAAGGTTTGGCTGATGTGTGCGGGTGATTTTGTCCGGAAGAGGGAGGATAAGAGAAATGGAAACCGTCCAGGGGATATTAGGGGAAATTTTGGAATGGACGGAAAATTTAGTCTTATTTAGGAGTTAAAAAAGTTGGAGTCCTATTTGAGTATATATGATAAGTTGTACTCCTATTTACGATCATTTCTCTTCTTTTAACCCATCCATGCACTGTGAGCCTCCTTTAGTTTCCATCATTATCATCATTCTCTAGGCATCACGATTCACAATGCACCATGTAATGATGACCCAAACAATTAAACATTAATCAAAATAATGAAATCAATATTTTTCACATTCAAATATGACAAGTTGACTTTTTTAGCAGCATGCATGACTTAGTTTTAGAATAGTTAGTACAATAAATAGATGCAGACCTTCTGTAGCCATTTTCTTATACGAGTAAGCTGCACAGTTTCCTCCTTGGGTCTCCTTTTATTGTTTTTTATATCACATATTGTCTGGACCATGAAATATGTATTCCCTTGGTTCTGGGTCTGACAGTCCAAAAGAGTAAGCATTACCAAGAAATCGTATATTAAATCACTGGGAAAGCATGATAAGAGGAAGTCACGTTAAACACAATTGAAACATAAGTCTAAAGCAATAGAAGGATTTATAGGATGCATCTACATGGATACTTGTGGGTGCAATGAAAAAAGATTCAAAAAGTTCACCTACCTAGAGAAAATTCCAAATATATACAAGTATAAATATTTAATCCAAAATTAATTGTCTAAATTTTATAAGTTTCATACAAGTATAAGCTAAACACAATTCACCTCTTTCATTTGAAAATGATGAAAAAGATCATGGTAGCTTGTAGATAAAAAAAAAACATGATTTACCCAAAAATCAGTATTTACCCAAACTAAATTCATAGAAAACCAATTAGAGATGATAACTTTAACATACGAGTTCAATCATAGTGAAAAGTGAAAAAATTAGATATACAACACCTACCTTGGATTGAACCGCGGCATGAACTACAGATATGTGAGACCTTGTGGATGAATATGCCGGACTTTCAATTCTCTGGACCTCCCAAATGCGGCTCGAGTGATTTGTCTCTAACTTCCTTTGCCTTCTAGGCGCCGCTTGAGCGATTTGTCTCTCGCTGCCTTGCCTCCCAGGCGCTTGAAGTTCGGCTCTCCCACTGTACCATTTAAATCTTTACACTTTTTTGGATGTCTCATTTACTCCTTTACGTTTCCTTTTTTGATAACTCATTTTATATTAAATTATCCTAAATACCCTTAGTTATCTTACCCACTCACAAAATATTACCCCCAACATAGAATACCCAGAATTGATTACCACAAGTTACAACCTCCGAGAGAACACCAACATAGAACACCCACGATTCATGGTCGCATAGTGTGGACTGTAGAAGCTCGTCAATCAACGTTTGGGGCAACTGATATTCCGGCGACGACATCTTTGCCGGAAAACAGGGGTGCAGAGAGGTGAAATCAAAGAATGCGATGAACATCGAAAACGAGAACAAGGGTTTCCGATCTGTCTTGCGGTCGGTCTGTATAAATATAGTAATTGTCCTAAGTAGCACTAAAACATTATAAAAATTCATTAATAGGACCTTAAGTTTTTTATTCCTTAAATAGGATTATATTAGTCCTATTTGAAAACATAGTAAAATTACATACCATTAATACCCTTCTTCTAATTAATCCCTAGAATTCAACTCTGTATATTTCTATCTTATCCCCTTCTCTCTCTTGCACACATCTATCGGTTATCTTCATGCGCATAGAAATCGAACGACTTCTCCCTACGGCCTTCTCTCTGCGCGCAGCCACGTACGTCGCCGCTAACCATCCCGCTTCACGCCCCTGCCATCAAACCGACTCCGCCACATGCCATCACAGGTTTCTTCTCTTCTTCCTCCTCCTCTTCCTACACCTTCCTTCTCTTCTTCTCCTATCTACTCCTCCTCCTATTTCTCTATTTTTCTGAGATTTGACCTTGAATTTTTCTGATTTTCCTCATATTCTTCTGTTTTTCTGGAATTTGACAATGATTTTGCCAAATTTAGGAATTCTATTTTGAATTTATTGTATTCTTAGATTTCTGATTTCTTAGTTTTTTAATAGTTCTGATTTTCCAAAAGTTTGGATGATGGTTTCAGATTTTGCCAAGTTTATGGCAGAAATGTGTACACTGACAGTCATATTATGGCAAAAACGTTTTTGTGTAAATCAAATCTTCTATTTTTGTCAATAGCTTTGTATTTTTAATTTTTTATTGTGTTAAAGTGCTTATTTCATTTTAAAAATTTGAATTTGGGAATATTGACTTCATATTTTTGCCAAGTTTATGACATTTTTGTATTAAGCTTCCAGCATAAATTTGCCAATTTTATGGGAGATATGAAAAATCCTATTCATGGCAGATTTTAAATTCTCTTCAATACTAAATCTGCCAAACTAATGGCAGATGTAAAGCGTCAAGGTTGTGACGATGACGATGACGGTGCTTGGAGGTGGAGCTAGCGGTGGTGCACCAGAGATGACAAATGATGGTGATAGGGACGGATTGCATCGTTGGTTGGGCGACGCCACCCGGCGGTGATGGATGGTGGCACCGGTGAGGAGGCGACGTATGGCGGCGTTGGCGGGGGTGAAACAGTAGACCTCTCCGACGAGGACGACGACAGCATGAGGTGATGTCGGCAACAGGGGGTGACGATGGTGGCAGTCCAATTGCAAGCATTGAAATTTTTAGGGTTTTAGCAATTTTCATTTTTTACATATTTAATTATTGATATAAAATTTCATTAAGGGCATAATTGTACAAGAAGGTGATTTTAAGTCCTATGAAACATAATTTCGAATGAAAGACCTATTTGGGCAATTATCTTCTATTTTAGTCCCATTTAGGGAATTAGCTCGAATAAATATGGGTGGAGAACGGTGAGCTTTATTCCGATCTTCGTCTTTAGATTAGGAGATGGTAGAGAATGAATTGGGTCTACTAAATATTTTACCTTCGAACTGGATTTGTCTGTCTCCTTCCTTTTCTCTCATTTCAAAATGTAAACAAATGCTCCGTATAAACAATCGTTGATCCAGAAAGATGAATTTTAGTAGATGTGCTCCGAGACCCATAGACCGCAGGAATTGCGAGAAAGTAAATACAAATGGCAAAAGGGGTTTTACATCTTCTATTAATTGTTATCCTAAAATATCGTGCCAAAATGAAATGTAAAGTTTCATCTGGGATGCAGGGCCCGCCTTGGCGATGTGCATGGTGTCCAATCGCACAGGGCCCAAAAATTTGGAAGGGCCCATTTTTTTGTAGTAGTATACTATTACTTAGAGGTGGTTTCGTTTCGGTTTAGATATAAAACCAAACGAATTACAAAAAAAATTGGACTAGGGCAAGGCTTTTAAGCAGGCCTGTAAAGGAGGAGCGTATATATATGAACGAATGAGTAGTAAATCCTCCGTTTCCACCGGTGTGAGAATCTTAAGCTTTAGAAACAAAAAAGAAAATAAGTGAGGCATGCGGGATTCAAACCCAGGTGAAAATAAAAGCATGCACGCTGATTTCTAAACATCAACCACTGGACCGGATCAACTAATTGTTGAAATAAGGTCGTACAAGCTTTATATTCCTTATTTGTTCTACAAAATAAATAATTAAAAATACCTCTTAATAAAAATCGGTTCGGTTCGGTTTGAACCGATTTTATAACTCAAAAACCTTCATTAAACCCATTTATGTTCGAGTCCCGACTTTCGGCCCCGTTTGAGTCGGTGCGATTTCGGTTCGGTTATTTTAACTTGTGTTGAAACTTTAAAAAGAAAACTCAATTTGTTTTGTTGCACAGGGCCTTCATTACCTCAGGACCAGTCCTGCTGGGACGGAGGGAGTAAATTGGTTGGGGTTAGGGAAGGACCTGCTTTGCAATATTTTTCTTTTTATCAAAACATGAGGTGGATTAAAATAACCCAATAAAATGGTGCCATGTGTGGAATGCACCAAAACATTCCGTAACTTGAATGCACCATAGAGTTTTCCTTCTTGGGATAGTCATGGGCTTCCAGGTCATCAACAACGCTCACTATTAGCCAATTGATGAAGCATTATTATAAAATTATTCCAAATACGGCATATACGCTACACAATATTGAGTAAATTATTATCATTAGAAATTGATGACTACAATAAATTATATTTATAAAGATGTGATTTTTAAGTGCAGTGACTATAATAATTTAGTCATAGTAATTTTTAAAATTAAATGTTCATGGCATTATACTCATAGCACCTTTTTAAAACTTTTATAGGAGTAATATGTTTTGTTTCATTAATATTTTTGAAAAAATTCATGCTATTATTATTATTATTATATCTCATTATCATGAGTACCATAGTCGTCAATATTTTTATTATTCAACTACTTTTTGAAATCTTAGCTTTTGTGTAATAGTTGAATTTATATTTGTCATATTTACGACTCTGAAAATCTAATTTTCTTTGAGATGAGAAAATTTTGATGTTTTTTAAGATAGTAATTTGTAATTGATATAGTGCACAATATATTATACTTTTAGTTGTTTAAATAAAAGACCCAATTTTTAATTTGTATTTTACTAAAGAAAAAATTGAAAAGAATAATCTTGCGTGTGGTCGATTTTCTCATCATAATCTCACATTTACGTAATCTCAAAATAATCCCACTTTTACACCCTATCTTCTTTCGTTTTACCCTTATCGGTTGGTGACCTACTATACTAGATTTTTTGCATTTTTTTTGGAAAACTTACATAAATAATTCCACCTTTCATGAATCCGCTCAAAACAGTCACATGTTTCATTTTTTTCTCCCTAAAATTTTTCTGTTTATTTTATCCATAAACAGTCACATGGGGCCAGATGGCATACCGATCGAGGCTTGGAGAAGTTTGGGAGAGAGAGGCGTTGAGTGGTTAACAAGTTTCTTCAACATGATTTGGAGAAACAACAAGATGCCAACGAGCTGGAGGAAGAGTACTCTTATCCCCTTATTTAAGAATAAAGGTGATGTACAAGAATGTGCCAACTATCGAGGGATTAAGCTTATGAGTCACACCATGAAACTTTGGGAGCGAGTGATTGAGCAAAGACTTCGAAGGACTGTGAAGATTTCAGAGAATCAATTCGGTTTTATGCCTGGTCGCTCAACAACTGAGGCCATTCACCTTCTTCGACAACTTATGGAGAAGTATAGAGATGCTCATAAGGATCTGGATTTGGTGTTCATTGACTTAGAAAATGCATATGATAGGGTGCCTCGAGAAGTTCTTTGGTGGGCCTTAACTAGGAAAGGCATATCACGCAAGTAAATCAGCATCATCATGGATATGTATGAGGATTGTACTACAAGTGTTCGTACTAGTGTAGGGAGGACTGAAGAGTTCCCTATTACTATCGGAGTGCACCAAGGATCGGCCTTGAGTCCTTTCTTATTTGCCATAGTCATGGATGAACTTATGAAGTCAATTCAGGATGATATACCGTGGTGCATGATGTTTGCCGACGATATTGTATTGATTGATGAGACGCAATCAGGTCTTAAAGCAAAGTTGGAAGTATGGCGACAAACATTGGAGAATAAGGGTTTCAAACTAAGTCGGAGCAAGACAGAGTACATGGAGTGCAAGTTTGGTGGAGCTAGAAGTAGTGGTAATAGCGGAATTACTCTGGATGGTAAGGAGATACCAGTCAGCGATATGTTCCGTTACTTGGGCTCCATAATTCAAAAGGATGGTGAGTTAGATGGAGATGTATCCCATAGAATCAGAACAGGGTGGATGAAGTGGAAGAGTGCATCAGGATTTCTATGCGACCGAGGTATGCCGACTAGACTGAAGGGTAAATTTTATAGGACAGCAATTAGGCCTGCATTACTGTATGGCGTAGAGTGTTGGGTGGTGAAACAATGTCAAATTCAAAAGATGAGTGTGGCAGAGATGCGCATGCTGCGTTGGATGTGTGGGCATACTAGGAAGGACCGCGTGAGGAATGAGACAATCAGACAAAGGGTGGGAGTAGCACCTATTGAAGACAAGATGCGGGAGTCGCGCCTACGGTGGTTTGGTCATGTGCGTAGAAGACCGAGTGATGCACCTGTTAGGCGAGTTGAGATGTGTGGAGAAGAGGCAGGGAAGAGAGGGAGAGGAAGACCCAAACAGACGTGGGTTAGGGGAGTTCGAAGTGATATGCTTCTTCTGGGGTTGGATGTAGGCATGACTTTGGAGAGAACTAAGTGGAGGGCGGGTATTCACGTGAAGGAGTGATCTTGATAATCTTTTTCCCTCATCTCTTTTTTTTCCCTACTTTTTTTTATCCTTATATATATAAGCATTATTTGCAGCCTTTTTATTTTATCATTTTTATATATATTCATCTTTTTTTATATTATCTTTTCATAATAGCTTATCTTTTTATCTTTATTCCTTCTTTTCCTTTTGGTTGTGATATCATGTATCGATTCATGTTAGCCGACCCCGATATCTTTTGGGACTAAGGCTTGGATGTTGTTGTTGTTGTTGTTGTTGTATTTTATCCATAGACACTTTTTTTATTCCATTTTCTATCCTTTTATTCTAATTTCCTTCCCAAATACATTTTTATGTGATTTTCTTTTTTTCCCGTATTTTTATTTCGTTTCTCTTTTTATGTTTCTCTTTTTAGTGATTCTCTTTTTATTAAAAATCTTTTTCTCATTCTACTTTTTGTTATACATTCTTTTTATTTTCACTTTTCCCCTTTTTTCTTCTTGTTAATTACTTTTTTTAATGTTTTTTCTTCTTTCTTCTTTTCTTTCTTCTTGTTATCTTAATTTCATCATCAATATAATTTTCTCCTTTCTTAATTATCGCATTTTTTAAAAATAAATCAACCCATTAATTCCATCAATAACAGGAAAGCTCTGTTAGTCACATTGGGAAATGTTAAGTTTTTTTTTTACCGGTGGGCGTAGCTCAAATGGTAGGAAGAGAGTGCCATAAGGGTTAGGTCCCGGGTTCGAATCCCGGCAACTGCGATGAGGGGTTACTATGCTAAAAAATGCATAGGGCATCTGCAAGTACCAGGGACAGAGCCCCACTCTCTATCTGTCAGATTGGGATTATAGTCCAACTTACATCCTCCCAACGTATTGTCCGATCGGGGTTGGGGGACCCTCAGGGATGGGGTGTCATCTTTTTTTTGGGAAATGTTAAGTTTTTCGGTCAAATATTATGCTCATTATATTGGAACTAGGTGATTATGATATTTGATTATGATATTTGATTGAATTCTTTCTATATACAATCTAGAGTGGAAAGGCAGACAGTTTTCCTGCCCATTTCCACTGGGTCAAAAACGGGTCATAGTCAAATCGGGTAAAAAATGGGCTAATGTCTTAAAACCAATGTTCCATTTAATGTTTGGATCTTAAATAGTCCGTATGTAAATACAGCTGGGTTCTATTCGTAGCTGTCCATTTTTTCAAACCTTTTTCCAAACTTTAAAAAAAAGGATGACACTCCATCCCTGAGGCCCCCAATCCCGACCGGACGGTACGTTGGGAGGATGTAAATTGGACTATAATCTCAATCTGACAGATAGAGAGTGGGGCTTTGTCCCCGGTACTTGCAGAGATCCTATGCATTTTTAGCATAGTAATTCCTCATCGCAGTTGCCGGGATTCGAACCCGGGACTTAACCCTTGTGGCACTCCCTTGCTACCAGTTGAGCTACGCCCACCGATTTCCAAACTTTAAATGAATTACTGTTTGGTATCTTACTCCGTATCATTTATTATGATTGATGAACTCTATTGTCCAATTTATAATACTCCCTCCGTCCCGTAAAGATGTTCACGGTTTGAGCCTCACACATTTTTATTCAAAAATTAAAATGTTGTTGACTTTTAAACCAACAAAATGCATGCACCGTAGATCCAGAGTGAATGAAATCATATATGCGGTTGAAACTAGAAATGGTATACTATGTAATACTTGGGCAGGAAAATGGAGAGGCCGTTTGGCAACCCTCATTTTCGGCTTATCAGGCTTATCAACCAACTTTTTTACCAAACACGTAAACTTTGTTTTCGCACGCTGAATTGTGTAATAAGCCGAAAAAGTAAGATTGATGTTACTTTTCTGGCTGTATTGGCTGAAGTTACTGTAGATGATCATTTTAGCTATTTTTACATACTCCCTCTGTTTCTGAAACAAGTTCCACATTTGACTTCACACATTAAGAAAATAAATTTGACTTTACTGTGGAGTGCACTGTTTGACACTGTTTGAACACTGTTTGACACCGTTTGAACATTGTTTGTCACTTTTTTTATGTAGATAATTTGCCAAATAATGAAATGTTTGAAAGTGGAACTTAATTTTGAATCTGTCCGAAAAGGAAAGGTGGAACTTGTTTCAGAAGGGGAGGGAGTATAATTTTTTCTTTATTTTATTAATAAAATATATTTTAAAATATTTTTTTCTTGTATCAGCAGAATCAACCAATGCAGCCACTTCAGCCATAACTTCATAAATTTCAGCAGAATCAGCCAAAACAGTCGATTTTCGTGCTGCCAAACGGGCTTGGAATTATTTAAGTTCGAGCCCCAAAAAATGTGAAATACTACGTATTACATTTGTAACCTGTGTTATTCATTACATTTTTATACTTGTTCCATATAAATAGTGTTCATAATTGTATTGATATATTGCAAAATACATTCAATAATTTGTAATATAATTAATTTTAGTTTGACTAATTTCGTGTCATATTGCTATTTGTTGAAGTTTTACGATGACAAGTAACCAAGAATCACATTTAGGCACCTACAAAGAGAAAAACGTAATAAACAAATTGACCAAGTTATATACTCCGTATGAAGTACTCCGTAAAATTTTGCAAATTGTAGGGAGAGATACGTAAAAAGGGTTCAGATCGATCAGAAGACTTTGTGGCTATTTTAAGTTAGGTGATGTGGTAAAGAATATGTTGACCTTAAGTGTTAGAAAGAACTCTATATTATTGCTCGTTTGTTGGTCGACGATTCGCGTTGCTTCTTTGGAGTCTAATCGTAGGACTTTTATCGATTCTAGATAAAATCTGTTGGAAGAGAGTTGGAGTTTGAATCATTGACCGATTGTAACGGCAAACAATCGATTAATTTAGTAATCAAACAAATAAAACAAATAGTAACATGATATGATATGGGTACGTATTTTTAGAGTAAAAGGAAACATCAGACATCTCAATCATCCCATCCTATTACGGTACCATTACGCACAACTCATCAAAAGTGAAAACAGACCATAGTAAAACTTAGTCATCACCTACCAAACATTTGGTCTAAAAGGTTGAATGCTCAACCCCAAACCTCCACCCCAATCCGACAGGATGGTGAGGAGGTTAATCACGGTGACTTAGTCAGCAAAGCGGCGGTAGGCCTTATACACGCGCGCAATAGAAGTCTAGTCTTATTTCAGGTTCTGTAACCTCCACACGGTCGCTGCGGGTTTTGAACTTTGGTCACTTGATCCAATTTTCCCACCATTCGATCAACTGAGCTATCCGTGCGGGTATCACCTACCAAACATGACGATGCTCTCATAAGTCAAAAAAGAAGAAGAATAACAATAACTACTACCCACAATATAGCAAAAAATGCCTATGTGGCTATGTTCACACAAAAAATAAATGAACTTTCAGTTCTAGCCCACTCTCGCTAATCCCACATGTCCAATTGTCGAAGGGTGGAGTTAGGGGCCTCATCTAGATCGTGGCGCACCTCAAATTTAAAAAATGTTTTAAGTTTTAGTGCGTTTGGCGGAGTCACGAGATAACTTGGGCCATGATTAAGCCTAAATTTAAAAAATGTTTTAATTTTTAGTGTTAAACGTGTAAAAAATACTTTTTGTATGGGTGAAGTCCGATCCACTGCTTTGACTTCGAGCAGGTACATGTCCAAACCACAATCTAAAACAAACCAACAAAACTTCCTTAACTAGTTTGGAAAGGATCGATAGATCATTCCGTGACAAGCATCTTAATTAACTTTCTGTGTACAACGAATAGTTGGGTATACTCATCCCCCATCACAACTCATAAGCAACAACCTATACAGCTCATTGGCTAATCTTTCGGCTAATCTTTTTCAATGCAAACAAATTCCAACACAGCTCATTTGGTACTTTTTGTATTTTTGGAATTTTGACATCTACTATATTATTTTAATTTTAATTGAATGGATGGGGGATAGATCATGGATGATAGAATAACATCACATACATCGATTGTTTTTTTGGACAATAACACTTTCATTAATCAGAATAATCGTTCAACACAAGATCAGGTGATATACTAAACCAAGAACAATCAGATTCCTGAATAGCTTGCTTAGCTAAAGCATATGCAACTCTATTCGCTGATTGCCGCACATACTGGACCGAAATATCTGCAACTCTACCATCATATGTCTAATAGCTTGCATCGGTCGTTATATTGCTCAATTAGTTAATTTGCACTCTACAACAAAGTAGGTAGTAGTCAATATTCATTACTAAATATTAATATTACAATTCTTCAATCACTTTATTCTATTCGATTGATCACGACATGTATATTACAATAACAAAAAAGATATTTGTACTCACCCTTTATACCCATCATGTATGTGCAAAGTTTATTTTTTTTCTGTGAATTCCGTTCACAGACAAAATATATCTTATTTTGTTTGTGCAAATTTTGCACGGACAAAATAACACATATTTTGTCTATGAACCAGATTCACAACAACAACAAAACTTTATAGGCATGATGGTATATAGGGCCGGCCATATGGAGAGGTACTCTGGACAAGTGTCTAGGGTCCCCAAATTTTAGGGGCCTCTAATTTATAAAATAAGCTCAACAATATTATGTATGTTATGTATTCAATTTTAATTGTAAATATTTAATTAAGCTGCAAGTAGTTCGACTAGGCTCAATTCAATGAACACAACACTCCAGGTTTTAGTTCTTTATTTTTTTCTTAAAAAAAGGATGACACCACATCTATGAGGGCCCCGATTGAACGGTACGTAAGGAAAATGTAAGTTGGACTATAATCCCAATCTGACAAATAGAGAATGAGACTCTGAATTTTCTTTATCTTTTTCTTTGTTAGACTTAAACTCCATTGTTGGCTAGAGCAGTAGGCCATAGTGACGTACTTATGATATACTACGTACTTCGTACGAAGTATGAGTATTCTAAATATATGAGAATGCTTATTGAATAATCGAAATTGTAATTTGTTATTTTGATTTATTGAAATATTGAATACTTATAATCTATTATGTTTGATTAAATTTAGTAAATTAATTTTTTTATTTATGAACCATTTACTTATATTTAGTATTATTTTGAATAAAACTTTATGTTTTGTGATGATTGGAAACAAAAATATGATTCCACATTTACAAAGAGAGAAAATATTAAAAAATGTTTTGTAAGCACAAAACCTTGTCCCTATATGGCTCTTTGTATTTCATGTGTAATTTACTTCTATTGAATTGATATTTTTTATAGGGAAAAGTACGGAAAAGATACTTGTGCTTGGGCCCGTTTTCAGATAGGGTCATGTGTTTCATTCTTTATCAAAGTAGTTCATGTGTTTGAATTCTGTTATCACAAGAAGGTCACGTCGTTAAAAACATTTGAAAAAGACCGTTAAAAGTAACTCTAATTTTCAAAAGTGCCCAA